TTAAAAATATATTTAAATAAAAATAAAAAATATAAATATATTTTAAAAATATAAATTTTATTAATGAAATTAGTTTTTGTTTAAGATATAATTATTTAATATATAAATTATAAGAGAATACATCCATTCAATCTTAAAATAAGAATTAAAAACTTACTCTTTATTATCATTATTTATTTGTAGTAATTTATTAATTTAAATAATATAATAATTAATATTAATAATTAATATTAATAATTAGATCTTGGAATAAGCGATTATTAGATATTTATTTTGATAATTACTCGTAGAAATAGTGAATCCTAGTCAAATTAATAAAATAATATTACTTTTATTTTTAGGCCATATAGACCATGAGCTAAAAAGGTTGGACCAAACTATGTCTGATTCAATTTAGGCCACAAATGTTTTAACTTAACCTGATCTATTTCTCAAGCTTTTCAGATTAGCCCATTAGACTAAGTCTATTTTCACACTCATACTGGTACATTACAATCTCAAGATTAAAATCATCTCTCTCTCTCTCTCTCTCTCTCTATATATATATATATATATATATATATATATATATATATATATATATATATATATAAAGAGGTGTTCATGTTTTAAAATTTCTAAAGGAAAAACCTAAATTCATTTGCCACATGACTATGAGGTATGATATTGATTTGTTGTATGCAGAAAGTTGCATTGCTACATTTTTGTTACATATGCTAAATGTAAAGAAATAAAAAAGTAGCAATTATTGGTGGAATTTTATATAGAATCTCATTGTAAGTGCAGGTGTAGTTTCATGATTTGAATAGATTATGAGAGTGGAGTTATTCTTCTTAGAAGTTTCTTTCCCACTTAAAGACATTATGAATAGGTAAGGGGAATGGAAACTAATAGAGATCAAAGACTTGAACTCATAGTCCTAAATAGTGCAGTACCTACACCAAAACAAGTCATACCTGCAAGCAAACTAATGATTAGTCCCTAAGTTCCCACGAGGAGAGAGAGATTATTCCTAGAAGAATCACTAGAAGCATTACTAGAAAGGAAGTATCATCCTTAACGAACAAAAATCCCACAACAAGTGAAAAAGTATATCCACTTAGCAAACAAAAAACCCCCTAATGAGTGAAAATAATAATAATAAAATGCGAGAAAAACAAAGAAAGAAGAAAAAGAAAAAAGAAAAGGAGGAAGAAATATTAATATAGTATTCTTGTGATTTATTTAAAAGTTTATTCCCCAATTCTTTTCTTTAATTCTTAAGTTCATAATTATCTTTGTTTTCCTTTTGTTTATACCATACCTTGACTTTAACCTCATTACAACCTAATTAAAAGACCTTTTGATCTTCAATTTGTATATGTTTCTTGTTTATTTAATTAGAACATTGTCAAGCCTATGGTTAATCTTATCTTTGAGATGTAAATTGAGAGAAGCACGGACCCTATACACTTGAATGATTGAGTGCATTAATTTATCCAAGTGAGGATTTCTAATCTTAATTATGTTATGATGACCACTTTATCACTTGTTTTATATTTGGAGTAAATTGATAGAGTACTTGTATTTAACATTATAATTGTATAGTCTTTATAATTTAATTATTGATTTTAACTTGATATATTGATAAAATGTATTTCATCTTCATTTTTATTTATAAACTTACTTTGCTTCGAATGCCAAGGTTTAAGTGTGGAGTTATTTGATGAACACATTTTATCGAGTATATTTTATCTATACTTCGTACATTTCTTTAATTAGATATTAATTTTTAACATCATTCTCATAAAAAGAAAAAAAATATCTTTGTATCTAATTTAATACTTAAATTATACATTTTAATTAAATTATTTGTTTATTTTTGCAGTAATGATAAATTAATGAAAATATAAAGTTTTATTTCTCAGTGAATATCGATCGGAAAGCTCATTCCAGAATTCAATAATCTGTTGAGCAAATGTGTCGACTTCTTGTAACTAATTTAACAACAAATTCATTAAGCAAAGCAAGTAACTGTTGAGCAAATTCATCATAGAACCTCAATTCTGCAAAAAAGCTATTCGCATTTTATTGTTATGAGCCTTGGATGGGCCTTGAAGCTTTGTACATGATTATTGTTGTATAAATAGACTTTAAAATGTCAAAATTCATAAGTTAAGTTTCATTTTTAAAATTTTACCTATTAAATCATAGTTTTCTCTAAAGTTTTCTCTCTTTTGTGATGCTTAGCTTCCAAATCTGTCCCTTGAGCTTCCCGTACGAATAATGCCTTGAAGTTTATCATATCAAGTTGCTTTATATCAAATTTGTCTTGTCTCTCTTTACTTCTTGCATTTAATTTTTGTTTCTCATCTTTTGTTTCCACTTTTCTTACGAATAATGAGTGGAAGTTTATCATATCAAATTGCTTTAGATAAGATTTGTCTTGTCTCTCTTTACTTCTTGCATTAAATTTTCATTTCTCATCTCCTCTTTCCACTTTTCTTGTATTTCTTTCACTGTTTTGATGTTTTTACTGGTTTTATATACCTTACTCATGTTTTAATTCATCTTTGGGGTTGAATCACCAATTAAATTTTGTTTCCTATGGTTAAGATTTGATTCTTAACGATTCTAACCGATTATAATCCATTAAGTCAATGTAACTAAGGTTATTTGATTAAGTGTCTTGATGGAGGACCACACATACACATTGGGCCACTTACAAGGGTCATGGCTAAGAGAGGTTATTTGATTAAGTGTCTTGATGGAGGACCACAGATACACATTAGGTCGCTTACAAGGGTCATTAGTAGGAGGATAGAAGAGGAGAAAGTTTATCCATGAACACTTATTCTTTGGAGTCTCTCTTAAAATTCTCTTCTACTTTTAAGCCTTGTATAAAATTGTAAAAACCTTTCTTTCTTTCTTTTGTAAGACACTTGATTCAATCCAGCACACAAGACATGGTCCAAGAGCTTGGCATGACCCAACACACACCAACCATGCCCAAGATCTTGGCTCGGTTTAGCACACAAAGTTACAACCACTCTTCACTCACTCCACTTGGTTACACATTATGAGCGAAAAGGGGGTTGCACCATTTCCTAGCATATTCTTGGCCAAGCACCCCTTCCTAAGGTATCTTTGGCCCACACACAAGCTAAAGGTCCAAACTTCTATTTTTGGTGCAACCATTGAGAGCGTAAGGATATATAAACTTTTGAATGTACATAAAAACAAAAGAATGTGGGATTTAAATCCCTTTAAGACTATATTTTCGACCAGCACTTGTTAAAGGCCAATTTAGTCTCACATCTCCTAAGATATTGAGTGTTGAAGAGGAGATTCACTATATATATATAATCCTATGTGTAGTTTTTTCAGTACATTTGAATGAAATTAAGCTTAGTGTGTAGAACTTGTATAAATTGTTTGTACCCAAAAATTAATTATCTTCAAGTATCTTTGAGAGTTATTTCTCTTATTCTATTGAGCAAAGAACCTTCTTTAAAAATTAAGTGTCAAGTTTCTTTTAAAACTTGAGAAAAAAATTTAATGGATGCTCATGATTTAGGAAATTTGGCGTCTTTTCTAATAAATTTTTTATTTGTAACTTTGATCCATTCAATTCAAGATTGTTTATGAAAAAAATCATAAATCTAAAAGGTAAACTCGTAAAAAATTTGTAATTAACAAAATATGATTATTAAAAGTTTCTAAAACTTCATGTTGACACCTACTTATTACATGGTCACCGTAATTCTAACATATACATTAATTTAATCTATAAATTAGAACTCATCACAATTATAATATATACATTAATTTAATCTACAAATTATAACAAATTTTAAAGGTTTACAACAGATTATTCATATAATTGAAACGCCAATATTATTTGGCCACAATATTGGGGACTACAATTGTGTCTCAATGTAGAAACATGAACAAATTCCAGTAATTTTTCAAAATATAACAAAATACAAATCAAAATAGACATTAGAGATTAAGGTCGATCAAAATATTAATCTTATTATCACATACTTTGTCACGTTGAAAAAAATGTCCCCGCGGTCATTGGACATCAAAATCAGAACATTAAAAAAATATTGTATTTTGTCTTCTGGACACTATTTCATCAATCAATTCCTTACTTCTTCTTTTTCTAGACATTATTTACAAATCACAAAGATTATACACTTGTCAATTGTAATATATATTAGATTCACTAAAATGATTGCTACTTAAAACAACCAAGATCAAACAAAATTAACCCTATAAACATACAGAACAAAAGGCAATAAGTGACCTACATGTCTAACTTTTCATTAAATAATTATTTTCCCAATACTAAGATTGTAGATTGATAAAAGTATGGTTAGATTCAATATATACAATAAACACTTAGACTAGGAAACCAAGGTACAACAAAAAGAATAAACTTTATAAACTATAAAAATGGCTTCAAACAGACCCTTTTAATCAACAACTTTAATAAATATTAAATAAAAATTCTTACAAAAAATATAATCTATTAAATTAATCACCATAATATTTTAATTTTCATTTCATATGATAATTAATATTATTTTATTCCTATAAATCAAATTTAAAAATTAAGATTATTAAATTTAAAAAAGTAAAAAAAAAGTCTTAAATTTAAAATATTGATTTGCTTATTTTATTAAATATAAATGATTTTTCAATTAACTAAAATAAATTATTATATTTAAAAAAATGATTAAAATTTGTTATAAATATTACAAATATTATATAAATAATATATATTATTTATTCTCTTAATATTATTAAAAAAACGCAGAATTTGGTTCATGGTCTATATTAAAAATAGGTCGACTTCTGCTATTAAATAATTAGGTTTAGGTAATTTTTTTGGAAAAGGGGTTTTTAAGGAAATAAAAAAATTATATTTTTCGTATTCACTCACATGGTGTGTTCCTTTGTTTATTTTAAATATCTGATTCTGTTGGTTTGTGTCAACTACTGCATAAAGACCAATGACTACAAGAGACAGGCAAAAAATGCATGAGCAAACTGGTTGCTTTGATCCCAACACAATGGGAGAAAGTGTACCCTCTCTAATGGATAACTTCCCTCAAACTCTCCCAGACCCTCTAACTCCATCACCCATGGTTGTAGGCAGCACGACAAACACCAATAATAGCCTTGAAGAGAATCTCAGGCTTTCTGTGGAGGAGCTCTCCTATAATCATCACAATTCACAACACCAAGAAGATGTCTCCACCTATGCAAGTGGAGTCACTGCAACATCTATTGACTTCCCCCATTCACAACATCTAGGTTTGAACATGGGGAACTCCTACATCGACCACACCAACAACATGGATAACCATTTGGTGCAAGAGGTCATTGATGCCCTTCCGTATCAGCAATCCATTTGGGACCCTACTACTGTTCAGGAATTACAAGACATGACCTATGCCAATCAAATTGAACAACAACAACAGCAAAATGAACAACAATTTCAGCAAATAGACACTCAAAACTGCAGCCAAAGCTACAACCCCTCTTCCATACTAGACCCTCCTTACCCTTCAACCGATCTCCTCAACCTTCTCCACTTACCAAGATGCACAGCCTCATCTTTACATACCAATCCCACCATTTGCCTGACAAACCCAACTCAGAACACACCAAACTTTCATAATCCATTGGCCTTTCTTGGAGACATTCCAATAGGGTCAGACAACACAAGTGCATCCTCAGTTTTGTATGATCCTCTATTCCATCTGAACCTTCCTCCACAGCCTCCAGCCCTTAGAGAGCTGTTTCAGTCTCTCCCCCGAGGCTACAGCTTGCCAACCAACTCAAGGAATGGTTCACTCTTTGGAGGCGATGACATAGAGGGAGATGGGAGCCAGCTTGACATGGGAGTGCTGGAATTCAACAGGGTAACACCCTCTGTTGTTGGCAAGAGAAGAGGAGGAAAAGTTACCAAACATTATCCAACTGAGAAACAAAGAAGAGAACAACTTAATGGAAAATACAAAATCTTGAGGGATCTCATCCCAAACCCCTCCAAGGTATAAAGCATCTCGAATTTTCTACTAATTAATGACTATGCTAGAATTATTTTGAATTAAATATATTTAATTCCTACAAATTAGTAATGTCCTCCCATGTTAATCTCTAAAAACATAAGTATCCTATGATCTCTCTGATCTCTTGTTTATAAAAAATATGTTAGATACAATTTTTATCCGTCACAGAAACGTATATTGCTTAGTTTCATGTCCGTCAAAATAAAGTTCATAAGACAATTCTATATAACAGACCAGAAAGAGCTGACTTTTTTTAAGAACTAAAACTTGACTTTTATTTTTTTATGCATTAACCTGATTGTTAACACAGATTGATAGAGCATCTGTGGTGGGCGATGCCATTGACTACATAAGAGAGCTTATTAGAACAGTTAATGAACTCAAACTATTGGTAGAGAAGAAAAGGTATGGGAAAGAGAGATGCAAGAGACCAAAAACAGAACAAGATGCTGCTGAGAGCTGTAACATAAAACCATTTGGTGATGCAGATGGGGGCATAAGGACCTCATGGCTCCAGAGAAAATTCAAAGACAGTGAGGTTGATGTCAGAATAATAGATGATGAGGTCACAATCAAACTCTTTCAGAGAAAGAAAATCCACTGCCTGCTGTTTGTCTCCAAGATTCTGGATGAACTTCAGTTGGAGGTTCATCACGTTGCAGGAGGACATGTTGGTGAATATTGCAGTTTCTTGTTTAGTAGCAAGGTTGGTATTTCATTTAATAAACCTAACTGGTAGTTATAATTATGAAATGCTTGCAAGAATAGAATTGTCACATTGTTAAGTGATTAATTGTGAGTTTTTCACTGGGACAGATAATGGAAGGTTCTTCTGTCTATGCAAGTGCCATAGCCAACAGGGTCATTGATGTTTTGGACGGTCAATACTCAACCACAGAACAACTATTAAAATAGAGAAGAACAGTGTAAGATCAGTCATGAAAGGTTTATATGAATTGATTTAGATAAATTAAATAGTAATTTATAATAATGATGTTAGTATTTTAAGTAATAACAAGTTAATTAAAAATTGATAAGTTTATCAATTTTAGACTTTATCATAAATCATATAGTTTTTACAACGATTATACATTAGTTATTGTCAAAGTTTGTAAGACAACAGTACAATGCCAGTTTGGATGTGTTATTTTGATTTGTTTCAGTTTAGTTGGCATTGTGGTGAACAAAACATAGATGAGTGTATTATTTTGTTTTCATAGTTTCACAGTCATGGGTTAGTTGAATCATGCTTGAGTGTGCAGTGTCTTGACAAATAACTACTGAATAATAATTATAACTTACATCTTCATTATTCTTAATTTTTAACTTACATGTGTTATTATTGACTTCAAATTTTCATGATTGGAAAATAAAATAAATTATGTAACAATAACTTTTTTTTTATTATTAGAGTGAATAACAAGATCACTACTGTTTTCATTTCTAATTTAAGCTGTCTCAAAAATTAATTTTCCATACTAAATAAACAATAAAAACGAATTAGAGAACCTGTGTTGCCATTCTAAAACTGAAAAAATGGAGTAAAATTTTAAAAATAATAAATTAATGAATCATCTCAAGTCCTGTATACAAGAACTTATATCAATTTACCTATAATTTAAGTTTTTTTTTTCCTCATTTTAGAATATAATTTGGTTGGTAAAGCAAAATGTAATATCCTGTCACATAATACATTTTATATTAAGATTATGCCTTATTATTTATAACAACTCTGCCCATATAATTTAAATATTGGTACATCTCAATTGAAATTATGATCTAAATGAAAATATTTCTTATCATAATTTTGAGATAATATTTTGTTTTTCTTTATTTTTAACAATTTAGACACTGACGCGTTTTTACATGAAGTTTTAAACAGGCATAACTAAGATAATATTATTTAAAAGTCTCACCATATGAAATAATTTTAACTTAGCTTAAAAAATAAAATCGTAAGTAAAAAATTAAATTAAATTAATTTTATAAAAAATTATCATACAAGTAACAGCTAAATTTTTCATAAAATAAAATAATTAAATTTATATTTAATTTTAACGTCAAGGTTTCCATAAAAAAAAATTATGATTAATTAATTAATTTTATTTATGTATACTTTTTCAACTTTGTACAACATAAATATTTAATATATAACAAATACGTATATCAAGGAAAAAAATATTTAAAAATGTGAATATACTTTCATCTAAAATCAATTACTGTCTAAATAAAAACAAATTATAAATATAATATTTAAGATAGAAATATATATACATATATATATACACACACACACACACATATATATATATATATATATATATATATATATATATATATATATATATATATATATATATATATATATATATATATATATATAGTTCAATATACACAGAGAAGTGACAAAATATGTTTAGATTAACCATTTTCGGCTCTAATGCAATTAATGTGATTATTATGCATAAAAATTAAATAAGATTTTGAAATAAAAAGAAAGAGAGAATAGTAAGGAATAATAATATTTGTTTTTAGATCAAAAGATATTTTCAATATTATAAGAGAATATTAATTTGGATTTAAAATCAATTTAGAAAAGTAACAAAACTTATTTCAAAGCTATATTAACCTGATTGAGTTATAAAATTCGATTTTTTTTAATATTTATTGGATTTAAAATCAAAATCCAATTTGAATTTATATAAAAATTAAACTGTATTTTGAAATTTAAAGATCCAATTCCCTTACCATAAAAACACTTGTAAAAAAATAAAAGAAAAAACTGAAATAAATATGTGCATATATTGGAACTAGTTTATACATCATTTATAAAGTTGTTTTTTACAATATTTAGAAGAACCCTTTTTAAACATATTTTTCATATAAGAAGAAAATGAATGTTTTGAAAGGAAATTAAAATATAATTCTAATTTTCTGTCTAGACCTTCTCTTATACTTATGATCAAACATCTCTCCAACAAAGTTAAAATTATAAAAGTTTATCTTCCTGGATTAAACTCAACTACACCAGTACTATTATTCAGTATGTGAAATCTGTACTTGTATTTTCTTCATGAAACTATGAAATATAAAACCATCATAACCTCTATATTTAACTTGACATTCCCTTTAGATTAGACTGTCTATTTTGGGGAGAATTTGAAAATTTGTTTCATCAGTTACAATAAAATAAGATACTTTTTTTTTTAAATCCTAAATTCTAAAATCTAAAATCTTCAATTAAATAACTAGCAAAAGTTAAAAAGTATATGTAAAAGAGGATGAAAGTAAAAAATAACAATAAAAGATTTTTTATTTCTCCGAAATTATAGAAAAAAAAACAAGAAAAATAAATGGTGGCACCAAATAACAAGATGGACCTAAACAGAAGAAATCACTTGTTCGTGCATTACAGGATACATGTTTTTTTAGTGGATGGATCGGTTCAAGTAATAAAATAGCCATCAACACAAGTTGTTTGTAATATTTAATTTTCGAGATTGTTCATATGCATGAAAAGAATGGGAGAACTACCAGCATACATGATTAATACTTATTTAATTCCAAAGATATTTTTAATGTTGTTAATGATTTTTTAGTTCATAGTACTAAATTGAAGATGGGTTGGTGAAAATATCCAAAATTTTAATTCTCCCAAAAATTAATACAAAATAATAAAGACTTGAGAGATATGTATTTGATTATTGGCAGTTGATGAAGGTATGAATAACTTCTTCACCTCTCATTCTTCATGAAATGACTTATACACTGAGTGGAATAGATCAAACTGGCCAGATACAATCTTCTTCACCTGTACAGATTGTGAACAAAAGTAACCTCAGAAAAAAAACATAAGAAAATAGGATCAATATATTTGTTCAATCAGACTTCCTTCACAAATAATTAATATGAGCGCTAACAATTTTCTAACAAGTATCTATCAGTCCCTAAGAGAACAAAAGAAATACTAGGAAGAGGAATATGTTCAGATATTCAGCAGAAAATATTTACAATTTCAATGATGGGCAAGCATAAGTGAAAGGACAACGTTTCACATTTTCATATAAGAAATTGGGGCACTAGAACAAAATGAAATTGGGTCAAAAATAAGTTTGACCTTAATAAGGAAGACGTAAATTTACGTCGGACATATTCACCAACGTAAACGTTGGCTTAGGGGTATATCTGACGTAAATTAACGTCAGACATTGGATATACCCGACATAAATTTACGTCAAATCTAGGGTATATCTGATGTAAATTTATGTCAGATCTGGGGTATATCCAACATAAATTTATGTCAGATTTAGGTTATATCCTACGTAAATTTATGTTGGCCTAGGGACATATTCGACGTAAATTAACGTCAGACATTGGATATACCCGACATAAATTTACGTTAGATCTAGGGTATATCTGATGTAAAGTTATGTCATATCTAGGGTATATCCAACATAAATTTATGTCAGATTTAGGTTATACCCTACGTAAATTTACGTTGGACTTGGGGTATAACCAACGTAAATTTATGTCGGGTACGTTTTTGGTCTGACGTAAATTTCATTTTTTTTGTCTTATACAGTAAGTCCAATCCAGATTTCAATAGGTAATAATTCAAAAATACAATAATACAATATAATACAAAAACTAAATTAGTACAAAGACTAAACTACAAAAGGTAAACATTACAAAACTAAACTAACAAAGTCTAAACTATTACAAAAACTAAGCTACCTAAATGTTAAACTACATAATGCAATACAAACAATAATCTACAAACTAAGTGATAAAAATGTTGAATGAAAAATCTTGCTTATTGTTCTCTAATTTGTATAATATCATGTTCTGATAATGGAGATAGATGAAGATTGAAATACCTGAAACATTAATTTGAATAATGTTAACATGTAATACACATAAAGATAAATGAACTTAACAAATTTTGAAAGCAATTACCTCCATCCAAGAATTAGCTATACTCGCACAAAATTTTGTCAACTACATGTGGAGCATATTTTGAAAAAATTATTGGGACAAATCCCACTCTTCTTCATTTTTTTCTCTCTTCGTTTTCATATGTTGTGTGTCCAAATCCTACATTGGAGTCAAAACTTATCCTTCTTCGAACATTTTATGTTTTCTTTTCATCATCATAAAACCCTAAACTGTTAGGAATCAAAGTAATTTCATAAGAACTCACAATTAAAATAAAAGATGAGAAAAGAGAAACAAAACAGACAATAATTTTACTACCAGAAGAAATTACAACACCCTCTTTAAATCTAAGGAAAAAAAAATAATAATATTCTCTCTAAAATAAAAGAGAACTCAACTACTATGCAATGTACTAGTAGAAAGAAGAAAGAAGAGATTTGGGGTGTGATTTCCGAGGTAAACATGGTGCTCCTTTTATAACAGGAAAAGTAAGCACCAACATATAATTTCTCTGATGTGGGACTTCTCTTCTCACATTCTCACAATCTCTCACTTAAAGATTTTGATTAAATTAATCAAATCTTCACAATACATTATTACTGTCTTCCATGTTGTTATTGCAATAGACCTTGAGTAAGATTGTCTCTATGTGAACTTGTCACTGCTAACCGACTGTCATAACATCTGTTAGGTTCTTCTTGTTTCATCTTGAAATATGAGGTAGGATTCCTTGTAATGTGCAAAACACTCTGATTGTCACAATACACAACAATTTGTTGCTGCTTTGCCCGAGTTCCTCCATTATCCTCTTAATCCAAATAGCTTCCTTACATGCATAGGTGACTGCCTCAACTTCTGTAATAGACAGAGATATAACATCCTATAACTTGGATAACCAGTTATTATCTTTCCAATAAAGGTAAACTCATCAAGATCACTTGCAAAACTTGAACAAATATAACATCTGACAACTAGTTTTG